TAACATTAATCTAATGATAATTTGAATATAATCGATCAGTTTATCAATGGGAAGAGACTTTAATTATAAATTGTTGGTGCTTCATCGTTTAGATGAAACGTTTGTTGATCATTAAGAGGCGTGACAACGGAAATTATTTCAACTGTTTAAACAGTGTCATTAGTCGCCAAAAACGCGTTAAAACAGTTATAAATTCAATGACTTCAAGCGTTTAAACATGTAAAACGCGTTAAAAGTTAATTTTTCATAAACCGTTTTAACGCGTTTTTGGCGACTAATGACACTGTTTAAACAGTTGAGACGTTTAAACGCCGTTTTGTTGTCTGCCTGGGCTACACACCCACACCCCCACCCTTTTCGCCCTGTCATAGACTGACTATAGTCAGTCTATATAGACTGAGGGTGTGGGTGGGGTGCGGGGTTGGGTGGGTGTGGGGGTGTACGGGTGTGGGTGGGGGTGTACGGGTGTGGGTGTGGGTGTACGGGTGTGGGTCATGTTTGTAATTTATTCCGCACCCACCATTCACACTCACACCCCAAACCACATACCCACTCCATTCAAGCGTAGTTTTTCTTAACATAATCGAAATGCTTCGACATGAATCCAAATATTTAAGCAAAATATACATCTCTAAGATCAGTTCTTCATGCTATCAATCTACTTTGTAGATGTTACTTTTTCTTTATTTTCATTTCCAAACAGAAATGATTTTGATTATGATTTCTTGATGAGAATACCAACGTAGAACACTTTTCTTATATGTTGTCATCGTGAAATAGAGATCGGCAGGGACATCATCTGTGATACATTGTAACCGAATCTTGTTTACATAGCATATAGTATCAAAGTGACAATAGATGGTTTATACTTCATTTGTCCGTTATTGTTTTTATTAATTATGACAAAAGTTCTCATGCAAAAATAGTTTTTTCATCAAGATGTACAAGATATAGTAAGATTCATTAGTTTATTATTCGTTAATAATATAATTTGTGCTAAATCATTATATAGTTT